ACACACACACACACACACACACACACACACACACACACACTGGATGGCCATCTGTCATGGATGCTTTAGTTGAGATTCCTGCATTGCAGGGGGTTGAACCTCAGGGCCCCTTCCAACTGTACAGTTCTATGATTCTACGAAGATAGTATGTTGGTTGTGATGTTTTCACCTCTGGTTTACTCTTTTTTACATTATTACAAAAACCTGCAAACCCCACCGGATGTTGTTGGCATCCATCTATCTTGAGAAACAATGGAGTGCACCTCTGGGGGTGAAGTCAAACTGTTGCATTAGCAGCACCAAAGTGACTTCCCTGGGGCACAAGCCTGGGCAGTGTATATGGAGGTCCTGGGCTGACCAGACAACAAGACCTCCCTCTTAGTCCTGCTCATGTGGTCCAAAAGAAAGCAGAGCAATACATTTGGCACCAGCTTGGCTGCAGGAGTTTCCAGAAGCAACTTGGAGACTCCACTCTGGATTTGTGTAGGGTTTACTCTTTAGCCTTTTCTTCTCCAGAAGGTATCCCACAAGGCAGCAGAGGTTTAGGACCAGAGTTTTCTTTCTCCTAGATGAACTAGCTTTTCAGGTTGACAAGCCCCACCCTCCCCTCACTTCCCTCTACAGTACATGCAGAAACTGCCTTCTTGACCATTTGCCCCACTATTGGTCTCATCCACGCAATCTACTGGAGCCTGTCTTTGCATGCAAGGGAAGTCCCTAACTCACCAAGGTTTTGAGTCCTACCAGCTACCCTCACCTGGTTTAGCCAGTCTGTCGAAGCGGTTTTCCAGGGTGCGGGAAAAATGTGTCTGTGCACCATGAGAATATGTGTGTCTCTCAAATCACTTCAAATTCCATTCTGAACTATCTCCAGCCTACCTGAAGGTTGTGCCTCCATGATCACAAGAGCCTGAGGTGTAGCAGGAATGGAACCAGCCCAAATCCTATTAAGTGATGGCAACCTTACATCTATCCCCCCCCCATTAATTTATTTATTTGCTTTTCTGTTACACATTCTCCACTAATACATAAACTACATACATAATACGTAATACCAACTACATAAACTCATACAGTCCAAACAAAACAAATACATCCTTTCATGTACTTCCCTTCCACTTCCTCCATGTTTTCTTATCTCTTTATCTCTTGCTATATAACTTACACTGCTGAACTACTCATATCCTGCTAGGTGCCAGCCTTACACCTTGAAGAGAAGCTTTCGTAAATCTTTTGGTTATATTTGTCTATTACAATATCCTTCCTTTTTCCCTGTGAGATGTAAAGATTGGCAGGCCTTTTAATTCACTCACCCTTTTCTCTTTCTCCAGAAGATCTATGGCGTCTGCATCCACCCTCGTTACGGAGGCTGGTTTGCTATCCGGGCTCTCCTGCTTTTTCCGGGTGTTGAGGTGCCTTCCTTGCTGCAGAAAACTCCTGTTGATTGTGTGACAACAGAGGAAAAGAGAATAGAACTTCTGGAGAAGTTCAATTTCCACTGGCGGGACTGGAGCTATCGGGACATTACTGAAGTGAAGGAGAAGTACTCGGAGGAGCAGAAAACGTACTTTGCAACTCCTCCAGCTGAACGGTTACAATTGCTGACTCTGCAAGGAGGATTGCAAAGGAATGCAATACACTGAGTTGCTGTTCTCCTGGCCCAAGGGGGACTCATAGCCTATTCTACTGTGTCCACTTCCGTGGAGGGAGAAATGGGTGGTTTACTTGGGGACCCAAGCTGTAGTCCTGGACACACTTGCTAGGAAGTAAGACCCATTGAACACAGAGGGGCTTTATTACAAGTAAATATGTCTAGGGTTGCACTGTAATATTAGTTACACTAAAAGCCTGTGAATCCAGGTGTAGGAACACTAGTCGTCCGTCCCCCCATTATTATTTTTTAGAGGAATGTAATTTTTAAAACATGCTGCTGTATTTAATTTGAGGGTATTTAAAAATGCTTTTTCTGTGAGAGAGACTCTGGTAGGTGGTGTAGTTATTTTTCTTCGGTTATGAATTCAGAAGAGATATTTTTGTAAATGGCACTTTTGCTGTCCTGTGTGAGAGATGCCCCACGAAGCAGTTGTTTTTGAAGGATGGTGTTGTCTAGTCCTTATCATAGTCTAAAGTCATTTCAGCATCTCAACATTGCTTCTGAGGCTTTGAAATCATTTTGTTCCAGTGGTTTCTTTTTCACTTTCCACTCCTGTTCAAAGGACTAGAGCTGTTGTCTAACTCATGTTGTGAAGGGGAGGTGATAGTAAAACTGAAGGAAGCAAAACTGTCTGGCTCTTTCTGTTACGAGTCTTTTGTGGCATTCATGCTATGTTGCAAGGCTTTTTGGGGAAAGTACATAGCCTTGAATTAGAATATTAGACTAGGAATGCAAGTGTCACCCAGTCCATTCCTGCCAGGACCTACAATATTACTGTTGGCATGGGTGAAGTGCTAGGTATTTCTGTAAGGGTTATTGACAAGAACTTGCCTTGCTGTTCACATATTTTAAGAATTGGCACACGCTAATAATTCATAATGTGCCTGACATTTTCAATACCCTCAGCAAAGGTTAAAGACTGTATCCAATGCTGCACATGCAGTGTTTTTCTCATGCAATGGAAAATTCCCTTCCTTTCCCAGCACACACCCCAGATTCTGTTCTGGAGGGTATCCCAACTCTCTGGAGCAGATTTTAAGGGTTTTTCAGGGGGTTGCACAGGAGAGGAGGGGGAAATTTCATTGTACAAGTGCAAGTCTGTTAACACAGTGAAACAACAACATGGATGCAACCCCAAGAAAACAATCCAGTCTCTACCTGTAAGCTTACTATACAAAAGGTAGAATGGGATAAAGAGAGTACATTGAGGTATTCTGCATAGGTTACAAAAATGTTTCATGACCTGGCGGAATGGCTGCTGAGACGGGTTCTGGGAGAAGAGTCTGTAGTCCTGAGTTGAGCACAGGTTGGGGAATCTCCAGTTCAACATATGGCCCCAAGTCATGCTGCCTGAATTCTGGTATTTTGAATTTTGGGTGCTGAAATTGCCCGATGTGTGGTGTAAAATCACTGGTGCCCTACTCAGAATCTCCCAACTGCAAATGGAATCTCGCTCCTTATTCTGTGCTTGAGCAGCTGAGGAATAGGCTGGCTGCCCTGTTTAGTGAAGGCCGACCACACTTCCCTCCTCCTCCTCCTCCTTCTTTCTCTTTGTCTCTCTCCCTCCCTCCCTCACTCACACACACACACACACAGCAGGTCATGTTACATTGGGAGCTTATGCATGGCATGCAAGGCTCACAAAAAAATTAACATGGGAACAATCTGAAGTTGTACTCTGCTGGTGAGTTTGGGCTCATCGTGTCTGTGTGCGTCAGCTGTTTGCCTCCATGGGGCTCAAATCCGTCTGCGTTAAGCAGCAAATTGGGTGTTTAATCCCTACTTGCTGGCACCATAAGCAGTTGGGATTGGAAGGCCACAACTGAAAGATTTGTGTCTGCAGTCTGCCAGGCTATGGCTAATTTCTAAATCCCTCACAGCCTCCTCTCCACATGTCTTCCCTTTGCCATTCAGCGGCTAAGGCTGCGTGGCTGTTGTGGAGTCTGGAGAGCACCGTTGTGCACAGTACTACCTCTGTATGCAGCTTGCACAGTCAAGCATTTGATGAGCAAGAGAGATTCTGTAGGGAGCACACCAGCTTCTACATCCCAATGATGGAAGGTAGCTGCCATCCAAACAATTAGTGCTCTTATTTGAATTGGTTTCTGATGTACAGCATGGGGCCATGTCCTGCTTTTACTCTAGAAGTGGATAGGTTGTGGCTACACTTGGGCAGTATTTAATTTAAACTTGGGCCTGGGGCAAAACTGCGGACTATTGCTACCCAACTTTGTTAAATGTTTTGTAAAGTGAAATTATACTAGGTTATGTGCATATTATCTGAACATCCTAGGGCAACCTTCCCCATCTTGACCCCACGCCCAGGCTGATGTTTTTGGACTTCAACTCCCATCAGTCCCAGCTAGCACAGCCAATGGTTAGGGATGATGGGAGCTGTAGTTCAATACCTGGAGGGCACCAGTTTGGCGAAGACTAGCTGGCTGGGTGTCAAAGGAGCTTTCCTGTCCACCTTTTCTCTGCTCTACACTGAAATTTGCCAAGCCCAGTAAGGCTAACAAATAACCTCCCCACGCTTGTCAGCAAAGGCCACCTGTACTGCAACGTGGGGAAACTATGATAAAATATTTTATATGTTTGTAATTATTATTACTCCAGGTTATAACTAGAAAATGGAGCATTGAACAGGCTCAGAATCAGAAGAATAAAATGTAATTGGAAAACCGCACTATTTAAAAAACACAAAAATGCCATTAAGAAGACAATAATAATCAGCTGAGTAGTATTAAATGTCCTGTTCCAAGAATGGATAACATAAATTATGTCCCCTTCTTTCTTTTTCCCTTCCCCCATCCCACAACAGCTGTGGGGTACCCAGCATTAAGCTGGAGAATTGCCAAGTCAGATTGCTTTGGAAATATCTCCCTAGTGGCAGCAGCTGAGCTCAAGAAAATGGGCAAGTGGAAATGAACAGAGCAGTAAAACCATAGGCCTGAATTCCCCCATATTAAATGCTTTTCCCCACCCTCAGGGCTGGCCTCTGCGTGAGGCAAGATGAGCCTCAAAACTCTGGTGGTGAACCCAGAAGGGAGGGCAGCAGAATGAGCACATGCCCCCACCATCCAGCCCACCACTGTGGCCACTACTGCTGGGTGGCCACCATTGGTGCCAGTACCATTGGTGCCTACTATCTATGCCACTCCCAGCACGCATCCTGCTGCTGTTATCCCCCTGCAACCATGGGCCAGTCCCGAGAAAGCAGATGTCAATTAAACATCAGGATGAACTTTTTGACAGTGGAATGGACTCCCTCAGAAGGTGGTGGACTCTCCTTTGCTTAAGCAGAGGCCGGATGGCCATCTGTCATGGATGCTATGGTTGAGATTCCTGCATTGCAGGAGGTTGGACTAGCTGACCCTTGGGGTCCCTTCTATGACACCCCCCCCAAAGAGAGACGGAGAGAACTGGCTACGTATGCTCTCTGCTGTTGATGAGCAGGAGAGTCCCATAGGTTCCTGCCACTGTTATGGGGAAAAACTAAGCAGTTTTTGCTACCACAGCAAAGCAGCCATGGGCCCTTGCTCCACCTCTATCTCTCCACACATAAGGCAGCTTTCTTCCTCAAAGCATGGCATTGTGGGTTGAGAACACTACAGAGATGAGATCTGCAAGTCTACCTGTTGTCACTGCTGCTGTGGCAAAAGCTCTTTAAGCAGGAAACTATTACACTTTAAGCAGTGCTTGCCATGGCAAATCAGAAGCACGGACATCATTCGTACAGCGTGCCTTTCCAGGGCCCACTTGCCCCGCAATGCCTCACTCTGAATAAGGACCCTGAATAAGGATCATTCCTGAGAGAAAAGCATTGTGCAGTAAGTGATAGCAGCCACAGAGGATGGTGGAGGAGGGGACAGGGAGGCAATCAGCCTGGTGAGCACAATTTGCTGCTCCACCTCAGACAGCTAAAGGTCTTGAACCAGCCCTGCTTCCCCACACTTAGCTGCAATGTATGGGAGTTTGGAACTAAAGAGAAATTCAAGAATGTATGTTTCCCTCCCTTTTAGTACAGGCACAACAGCATACAGTGAATTGTCCTTTCCTTGCAAGGTTCCTACAGTTGTGTAATATGTGTAGTTCAGCTTACCTGAACTGCAGAATCTGTCATGCCTGCTCACCTGGATGCTTCTGCTCTTAAAGAGTTTTCTTTATTGCAAAAGTTGGGGTTTCAAGGTAAAGAGCCCTTGTGGGGGGGGCCTAGGGAAAAGGCCATGTTGATCATTTACCACCATGCTGTACACTGAAACTAGCTTGAATTGATGAAGGAACTATTCTGGAAAGCTAATTTGAAGTGTCCTGTTTACTCACGGTTTTTGCTTGATTTATTCATGCTCTTTCAGTCTGGCAAAAATGATTCCCATGTTATTTTAGTATTTCTAATTAACTAGAGTGAACATGAATGATTAGGGGATGTGTGGTTGGGGTTTTGGTTTTTTTGCTGAACTCAGCATTGCTTTCAGCCAAGGCCAGCTGGGCCAGAAGCCTGCTCTCTTGGGTCAATGAGTAACATTTTGGATCTCAACCCCCTTATTAGCATTTCCTCCAGAGGAGAGGAAAAGGCAGTAATTCTTTCTGCAGTAACCCAGGCTTCACACGCCAGTATCTTGATATTTGTCAGGACATAAAATTGTTGGCATTCAGAGCAAATGTATTTGTAACAGAAATATGAAGTAATGTGTTGGATGAGCCTCCTTCTGTGTTGGATGGTTGGTCCTTTGCTTTCCATGTGGGTACCAGGTTTGAAAGGAAGTCTAGTCCTTTACAGTTCTGACTGAAGCTGTTCTGGCTGAAGATTCAAAGACAGAACAATTACTTATAGTTCTTTGTAGGCCGGAGAAGTTGTGCCACGATGTGGCAGGGAAAAGACACCTTCACGGAAGATTGAAAACTAAAAAGAAAGCAGAAACCTGGGGGGGCAAGTGGCAGCTCATTTGTGCATCATTTGCCAACTTTTCAGTTAATACAAATATAGAGAAGTCTCAGCAAACTATGGTTGGCGTAAAGCTTACACTGTAAACCATGGTTTCCCATTAGATCTGAATCCAAAATGTGGACCTCACAGCCTCTTCACAATGTGACCCTGGCTTCTTACACAAAGGCCTGCCTGTCCAGTTAAGTTAGGAGCTTTATATCTATCTACCCATCAGGCTGCCACTCACAAAGGTGAGATAATATATGGGAGGCGATTATTATGTACAAACCTTTTGAAATTTGTTTAAGGTATAAATATTGCCTATACACAACATGGTTACATTTTGGGTTTTAAAGGGAAGTTCAATAAACTTGGTTATTTTGCCATCTCGGATTCAGTAGTGTGGAGTACCACTTATTTCACTGCAAGAAAGGATGTCCTCTCCTTAGGCACTATTTGCCAGCCCTTTGCATCTACTATATATTTTGGAAAGTGATTTGTCCATCTATCGGTCCCTCTGTTCTTCATAGGTTCAGCTGCCTCATGAGATACCATTGCCATACTTGGCACGAGGGTTCCTGAGCTGCGGGTGGAGAGGGGGACAGTTGTTGTTGGAGTTTGGATTCTGATTGCCATTTTGAATCAAGGTGGAGAACCCAAATGTTACTTGGGAATGACTTTGCCCAATTTTTTTGTGTAGGTTCAGCTACCTCTCAAGGTATCACCACCAAACTCAGCATGAAGGGTGGCAGACTTTGTCATTGTTTGGATGCCGGGTGCCATCTTGATTCAAACCAAAACGTGACTTTGGCGTGACTTTTTTGGCATAGTTTTGGCTGCCTCCAGATATCGCTGCCAAACTTGGCATGAGGTTTCCTGAAGTGGGGACAGCAGTCTTCATTGACATTTAGATGCCGGACACCATTTTGATTCAGACCAAACCCTAGAAGGGTGTGTGTGTGTGTGTGTGGTGCCATTGGTCTCCACCATGCAAGCAAGTCTCGCTTGCTGAGATTTGGTTAATAAGACATTTTGCAATTGGAAAAGGTTCTCTGTATACTTGGGTTGCTCCTTGTCAGTCAGCTTTTCTCTTCAGTCAAGGACACTATGCATATATATACTGAAGCTCCTGTTTCCTACAGGGAAGGAGAAAAGCTGAGAATGTTCATTACACTTTACAATCCTTGCTTAAACTGCCTGCTTTCTGAACAAAAAGGAAGTCTTGTCTCTTTTAAAATAATAATCAAGTACTGAATATAACATGTGCAAAAAGGAGCAGGGAATCAGGGTGGGGGGACAGAACCCAATTCAGTTTTTACCTGCAGCATCTCATGGTGTTCAGCGTCAAATGGCTGAGAAATCTACCAGTCTAGATAGCTTGATCCTTTGCAATAGACATCTATCTCCGCAGCTACTGCAGCTTTCAGGAACTGAATGAAAGGCTTGAGATGTACGGTACAGTATCTTCCACGTTCCTCTTGAAACGGACTTTTAACATTGCTTTCCTCGTTTCTACCACAAGAGGGACCTGGAATATAAAACAGCATTAATTAAAATCAAGCCTATTTCGTTTCACTGCAGGAAAGAAAACAAAGCCTCCACTTGGAACACCCGAGAGGCCATGGGTTGGTTAGCCTTTTGTCCTTTCCCACTTGACATCAGCCAGTCATGGAGAACAGAAAATGCGGAAGTGTTCAGAGTGGATCAGAGGGTGGGGGGGTATTAAATTCAAGGCAAAAGAGTTCACTTGGGCACTTAGCCACTCTTAAAAGGATTGATTTGTAAAATTAGTATAGTTGTGGACCAAGTTTGGAATTGATTGCTGTTATTTTACTACCAAATGAACAAGATATTCTTTTAAAAAAGGATATGAACCAGGGTGTCACCTGTGAATGTTTTCCATGTTTCCAACATAGGAAGAATCCTCTTTCTCTTTTATTACATGGAACTAGGAGCTCAAGTTTATTTAATTCCTTATGTAAACCTTTGGGCAAGGTTCTAGACATTCTAGATGCCCAAATATAAAGTGATTTGTTAGGTCAACATCTACAGAGGTAGTAAGCGCCCTTTATTCTTTCCTGCCACATGGGACCTGTTTATGAGCAGCTCCCGTACAGCTGGGAAAACATTTAAATAGTGCAATCACAAGGGCGAAAGACAATTGCAAATGACCAACAACTGGGAGGTTGGATAATTTAAATGTTCTCCCAGCTTCATGTTGTGGATAAACAATTTCCATGTGGCGGGAAGAATGTCTAATAGAATGCAATAACTTGTGCTTTTAACCTTGATCGAAATACGTATGATACCTGTTTCAAACTAACAGACAATAATAGATGTTTCTTGGATAGAAAGAGTGACCTGAATAAAGTAATTTTGGACGCGCTGTTCTCAAACCTCATAATTTAGCACTTGCATGTTTCCTTCAGTGATGCAATGAGCAAGGGGGGAGGTGGAATGTGTGTGTGAGAGAGAGACTTCAGACCAGGAAACTAGCCAGGTGGAATAGGACTGAATCCTCGCTATGCCACAGCCCTGATGAGATCAAATCATGGATTTCACTCATCTTTTCAAGTTTGACCTTTATAACCAGAGGCTAACCAGGACTTTAGATGTTTGGATGGTTGCAATTAGCAAACTCTCATTAAATGTTTTGTGCAGGTGGACCAGAGAAGTTAACTTTTCAGAGTGTGAATGTATATTTCTATGGTCATGAGGGAAATGCCTACAAATGTGAAGGGTAGAATCTACGAAAGGCACAGGATTTGCTCTGTTCAATTCGTAAGTGTGAAATTAAATCGGTATCTGTAAATATTCCTAATTTTCATAATTTATTTTAGTAACCCAAATTAAAGAATGTGAAGTATTTGTGCCAAAATGGCACCACTAGCATGACTGCTTATCCCTTTGTAAAATTGTTCATGTACAATGAGGGCATAAATAATTGTAATACTAATTAAACTATTAATATAAAATGTAGCAGCCACATTATCCATATGGAGAAAGTGCTTGTTTGCCTAAGGGTCTGCCTTACTTCATATTCTATTCAGTGATCTTATGTCAGCTTCCTCTTTTTCCTAAACCCAAATCTACACTCAATTTTTTGCCCTAGTTGTCCTAGTAAGCTCCTATGTTCACAGTTGGGAGTAAGCCCCATTGAATTAAATGCGAGTTGTTTCTGAAGAAACATGCATAGGATTGCACTGTTTGGTTCTGGGTGTTGCTACACTGTGGTACTGTGTAAGAATTCTGTAAGCACTGTTACTTGGTCATTAGCTTTATGGCTCACAATCATTAAGCATTTAGTGATCTGTAAAAACATGGGACACGATCCAACCCAAAGCTTTAAAGCCCATTGATTTGAAAGGGAGAGTTAAGTTTTCTCATTAATATCAATGGGGTTTTAAAAACTACTTAACAAAAGCATTCTCATAATTAGAGCGAGCACCAGCATCTGGTGCAGTTTTCAGGGCCCACCACAGGTAATGCCGTCCACCAGCCACAGACAAATACATGACTGATTTAGGGGACCTACCATTTTAAATTTCTTTAAATGTCACAGAGTGATGCTACATAGAATGCTCCAAGGCACCATGGGAAATTCAAAATGGTGGCTTCCCAGCTACTTTCTGCTGCCTCCAGAAATACCACCAACTGAGATGCCCTCCATTGTAAGAAGCTCACCAGACAGCACTTTGTCAAGGTCCTGTTCAACCCTGGAGGCAGCCCTCCCCATCATCAGTTATTCAAATAGTCGCAGTTATTGGCTGGCAACAGTCACAGTGGTCACTAAATAAAGAGATTGTAGGTGAGAACGGTAACAGGCACCTTATTTTTATATGTGTTTCATGTCTTTACTTCTTGTATCAGAACAGCATATAACAGGGATATATATTCTGAGAACTCTTTTGTCTGCTGTCAGCTAATAACCAGATTACATATTGCATTTGTACACCTATGCATCTTATATTGAACAGCCAGGTACATCTGGTAGTGTTTAATTGATTGATTAATTAAAAGCATTTAATAATTTATCACAACAAATGTAACATCTGTAGAAAAAACTTTACAACCTGAAAAAAGAGACAATGCATGTATTTTTGTAAACCAAGAAAATCTTTAATAAAAATTATTTTTATAAATTAAAAGCATAAAAAACAGATACACACACATTTTAAAAATCTGAACTGGCTCTCATAGAAGACAGTACTGTGAAAGCAGGATAATTAGAAGGAACTAAATTTTGTATCAGGACCTCAAGTGCTTTATTTCTGCTAAGTTCTCATTATTTAACCAGCGTTCCTAACTGTGACAGATGTCCTATATTTGCGTTGGAGCTGTTTCCGCTCCTTTTGCAAAATCCCACCTGCTCCTTCCTCACCTGCTCAGTTTTCAACACTTGAGCTTGAGAAGGCATGCCAAATGTGAGACAGCTTTTGTAAGGTCTGGTCAATATCACTTGCTCTGATGTAACAAAACTAAACCTTGGAACTTGTTAAATTTCCACATACATTGAGTTAACTTTCTGAGCAGGACAAGGATTCTTTATGGGTTTTAATGAGGAAGAATAATCATAGAATAATTTTAATATTGACTTTTGACTGTTTTAGCTTGCATGTCCACTGGCTGAAGGAGTGCAGGATTTGGTGGAAGCTTCATTATGCTGGCGGAAGTCAAGATACAGAGGAATATAGGAAGTTGTCTTCCACCAAGTCAGATACCATTGGGCCATCTAACCTAGTATTGTCTTCACTGTGTGGCAGCAACTTTCTCAGCCCTACCTGCAGAAGTTGGGTATTGAAACTGGGAAACTATACAAAACAGATGCTTTACTTCTGAGCTATAGACTTTCCTTATATGCTGCTGGGGTGACAAATTCACCAGTGGAACACCTGCGATACACAAGTGGTTGTGTTCTAGTTGCAAAGGCATGTCCAATGATCCAGTTAAAAGACAGAACCTGATCTGATGCCATGTCTCAATGCATGGAGCCAACACGGAAAAACTGGAGACACTAATGAACTATAAAGGATAAAGCAAACCAGTTGCTCTAGGGGTGTTAAACCTCTCCTCAGCAGCTGCTACTTGGGTCACAGTGCTTCCTTTCTTTTTAAAAGAGCTCATCTGCAAAAAGCAGAGAATGCAACTTTTATACATGCAGAAGTCTAGCTGAAACTGTATATGGAGAAGGAAGTCAGCTACTGTGGTACAGGATAAAAACATGGCCAGCTGATCTAGGATTGCAACTCAAAATTAAGGGTTGCATTCAACTATGTTTTACTCTGAGTAGATCTGTTTCAATTATTGGCAATGCTTAACTTAGGTGCACTAATTTCAATGGGTTTACTTGGAGTAAAAGTTAGTTGCCTACAGTTCTAAACTTGAAACATTGACTTGCTAAAGTTTTTGCCAATGTTTGTGCTCACAGCCGCCTCAGCAAAGGAGATCTAGTAACCCAACAACTGTGATATGGTGCTTTGTGGCATGATCTCTTATGTATATCATCATTGATCCAATATTAGAACTTGTGAGATATCAGGCACTGCAGTGTTGCTTCTCCTTTTTGCCTACTGATGCATAGAAGTTACTCTCACATACATTTACAATGCAATGTGGTGTCTCTCTTGATAATTTGTGAATACAGGGGCTTCTCTGTATCTCATAAATATTTCCATTGAATTCACACTGAATGTCAAAGTAAATAGCATTTAAATTCTATATTGCCCTCTGAGGTTAATTTTAGTTATCAAAATTAGGTAGATAACCGTTTACTTTTGGAAACATTGGCACCCATGTTACAGAGCTACAAAATCCAGGTTTTCACCTGTTCCACAAAGTAGAACTCTCCCTCTCCCTCTCTATATTCAAGTGATGTTGGTCTCTCTGCCTGCCTGTTTATTGTCTGAGGCTATGGATAACATCTGTATGTGTGTGTATGTGCTTTGATGAAAAGAAAACTACTGAGATTGCACAGCATGTGGCAGGAGTTCCTTTCAGCCACTAACTGAACCAGTCACTCCCAACACAGATTTTGAAGTGAGAAGGAGTGATGCAAGGACTTGCCTAGGATTCTATGGAGTGAGTGGTATAGGATGTTAGAATGTCTTTGTATACATTACTTTGCTTACAGAAGGATACTTTGACTTAGGCATGTTGTGCCTGGAAGATCAATTGTGCTATGCAACCAGATTCTAAACAGAATTAGGAATGTCTAAACCAGTCTGTTGTGGTAGTCTCAGGCCTGTCTATCTTTGCATAAGAGCCAGCTGCAAGCACTAATGCATGCATACTCAAAATAGTGCTCAGATGATAGCATGGCTACACACTGTTCTATATAGTAAGATAAAAACAATGCACTTTCCCTTGTGTTCATCTTTGTGCAAATGAAGGTTGTTGTGTTTTTCCCCAAAGGCACAACTAGTTTCTTACAGAATCCAGGGGTGCCAGGGGCCTTTCTTGCGCAATGCCAAGTGTCTGCGATGGGAGCTTGATGGATCCAGAGGTAGCATCATAGAAGATCTATGGAACTGGGTTTAGTCTGTGGGGTACCATACAGCAGATGTTACAGCTGATCGTTTTATATTAGCTTATACTGAATGGCCCAGTTGCTGCCTTGTAAGATAGGAGGAATACAGATTTCTACCCTCTCAAGTGCCAGTCTCTAGGTTTTTCTGAATTAAGTGTTGGCTCGGCTGTACATTCATATTTTTTTCTAGGGCTTTGTGAGAAGCTGCGAGGCGCATTCCACGGGGCACTCAAGGCATGCCAGTGGCAGTGGGTGACGTTGCAGACTGCAGGTCAAGAGGAGCAATGAATGCTTTTGAGGGTTTGCCTTTCTAAAAGGAGAGATCCTTGCCTAGCAGCCGCCCTCTGCCATCTGCCCTTGAAGCCCTGCCTAATCCTAGGTAGGCGAGGAGGGACAAGCCGCCTTGCTTATTACTCAGCGGCCAGATAAAGACCTTCTGCTCGTCCTGAGAGGCGCTTCTCCGTCTGATCACTTCTATTTCCAGCAGGACTCAGCCCCTTGGGAAGGAGATCGGAGAGCAGATTCCGAAGCTGAGCCTCCTGGCGCAAAGGAATCCCACCCACCCCCAGACCCCATGCGAAAGGTTGCTAAGTGGGCAAGCCCCGTCGACGAAGCCCCCACCCCGCGCAAACAAAAGCATTCTTCGCCCTTCACGAAACGTATCTCTGCGCTTCTTTCCAGAGGAAAAGAGCACTTAGAACGCTACTCAAAGTCAACCTCCTACTCTGAAGAGATTTGCTTTTATTAAAAGGACGTGAAACGGTGGCCGGGGAGGGGGGAGACGTTCGGAGAATGTCTAGAAGGGAGTCCCCATCTCTCACCTACGCAGGTTGAAGTCATGAGAAAGAGCAATTGTTGGGGGGGGGAGTGTCAAATGTTCCGAATGAGATTCCTTCCACAGGGAGGGGCCACGTGACACCTACCCCCCTCTCGGGTCTCTGGGGCGGCCGCCCACGCCGTGGTCCCCGTCCGCCCCCTCCCTCCGTCACCCCCCTTCTCCGCCGCAGTCTCCTCCCTCCACCGCCCCCCCCCGTCGCGCTCGCAGGCAGGCAGGCAGGCAGGCACGGGCTGGGGCTCAGTGGGTCGGACGCAGCCATGGCGGAGGGAGGCGAGGGAGAGGAACTGCTCCGGCCGCCGCTGCCCGCCGCGGGCTCGCCGGGCCCCAAGCGCCTGTGCTCCCGGGGGGTGGGCGCGGCGGTGGCGGCGGCTCCCCGCGCGGGGGGCTGCCCGGGGGGTCCCGTCGGGGCGGAGGGCGGCGCGGCCAACGCCGTGGCGGTGGGGCCGCGGGGGTGCTGCCCCTCCTCGGGTGGGCCCGGCCCGCGGCCTGTCTGCGGGCCGGCCGGGCCGCTGCTGCCGCTCCAGCAGCCCGAGTCTCTGCTGGACGCGGCGGCCAAGCGAGTGGCGGGCAGCTGGGCCTTCGAGCGAGTGGAGGGCCGCTTCCAGCGCATCCCCGAGCCCGTGCAGCGCCGCATCGTCTACTGGAGCTTCCCCCGCAGCGAGCGCCAGATCTGCATGTACTCCAGCTTCCAGCCCGGGCGCCCCGGAGGAGGCGGCGCCGCCGGGCCCGGCAACGGCGCGTCGGCGGGCGGCACGGGAGCCGCGGGCAGCGGGACGGGCGTCGGCGGCGCCGAGGACAGTCCGGCGGCCCCGGCAGCCGCCACCGGCGCAGCCCTTCCCCCCGGCGCGCCCCCCCTACCGGCCTCGGGCGTCCCGGCCAGCGCCGCCGTCACCGAGGGGCTCCCCTTCCGCAGAGGCATCCGCCTGCTGGAGACGGGCGCCGTGGACAACGTGCTGCAAGTGGGTGAGTGAGGCACTTCGGCGGCGGCGAGAGACCGCCCCTTCTGCCCTCCGCCGGCGCGTCCGGCCGCTGCTCCGCTCGAGGATCCTTGGTTCCCCCTCTTCCTTGGCCGCCTCGCATTTCTCTCGCTCTCCTTCCCAGGCTTCGCCTCCGCTTCCTTCCCCGCTGCCTCTTTGCCTTCTCACGGGCTGCCCTTTCATTCCCCTCCCTCCTGTCAAATGCCATTCCTCTTTCCCCTCCCCCCCATACTGTATCCTTTTCCTCGATCCCCTTCCCTCTCTCTCTCTCTCCACCCCCAACCTGCCTTTCCCCCTATTCTCTCGCTTGGTCCCTTATCTCTGCTGCTGCTTCTGTGCTTTAAGACCCTGAAGATTTCCCTCCTCCAACAATCGCAGCCTTTTGTCTGGTCTGTTTGCTGCTTGACAGTATCCCCACCACCCCCACCACCCCGGAGGACGGAGGTTGGAAGGGAGAATGAGAGGGTGTCCCCCACACCCCATGGCGGGCTTGAGAAGGAGCCGGCTTTGGTCTCTTTTCCTTTTCCTGAAGTAGGGGTGTTGCTTTGAAGGAGATGTTGGGGGGAAGTTTTCCAAAGGACGTAGGCAGCTGCCAGCATCATAGAGACCTGAACTTGCTTTGGGAAAGGATTCGAACTCTTTTGTCAAAACGCCTCCCCCTAACGTTGCCTGTTTCCAAAACCCTTCTCTCCCACCCGTGGGTTAGAGAAGAACCAAACCCCACCCCCCAAACATCAGAAGATGATGTCTGTAGGGAAAGCTGGGTTAGGACACCTTGCAACGCATTATTGCCTTTAGAAAACTCTTATTTGCTTTTATAATGAAATAATATATAGCCTTCTATGCAAATACTTGAGAATCTCATTGAACATAACAAATGGGGTTATTTTAGGAGGAGTGCGGGAACCAAAGTAATTTATAATGTATAACTTTTGCTAGTGCCTGAATGTTTGGAATTTTGTCATCATGGCATTCCATTTCTTGTGTGAGTATATGCGTGATATAGATTCCATTGGAAACTGAAAATGGAAATGAAGTCCTTGACTTTATTGACATTCAACACAAGGGTTATTATTACGAGCCTTGTCAGGGGATTCGCAAGTCTGAGTGAGTGACAAAGGTTGTTTTCCTCCCATCCTATTTCCCTCCTGAAATCTGCTTTTGTGAAACGCTAGAAATAATCTGTTTCACATTGTTAGTGGAGGTGAATGAAATGAGTGTTCCCATTAAACTGATATTCTGTTATAATTTTGTTTTGCACATTTGAAATGTAAATTCATTTTATGCCGATGCCCATTGCCATGTATAAACGTCTTGTTAGGTCCCCCCAGATTTTTTAAAAAATGTTTTACTCTTATAGACAGTATGTGTGGCTATTCCACCCTCCTCTTGTAGAAAAATAGGAGTTAGTCAGTCAAATTTATTTGCAAAAAAATTAGTCATCACAAAAATACAGGCATAATCAAGCTGAAAGATGCAGTGCTCAGCACAATTTAAGTGGTTGTACAGATTTTTATATATCTACACATTCCCTTAAAAAAGCCTCCTCTGGAATGCTTACACCTTTTAACAATACATAATTAAATTATATCTTTTTTTCATACAAAGGGCTCAGTTATCCACTATGACTAAAATAATAGGTGGTTGTAGGAGTAAAGAGCTGAAATGGCAACATGAAACAATGTTGTGAGAAGAGAAGTAAGTCTATGAAGAATCTCTGAATATGATTTGACTGTGGAGTTTGCAATCCTTGGATTACAGAACATTTATATCTGATATGTACTTCAACAAGAACACAAATGGTTTATTAAACTTCATATCAAAATAGGTATGAAATCAACTGTAGATTTTATAATGGATGACTCATTGACATGTGAATGTGAGGACTAGAGGTTTTTGGACTGATTTGGTACGGCAAATTAAGAAACACTTGTTTTTTAAAGAATTTATGATAATAATGTGAGCAACCGAGTGCAAACTTCTGAATAAATAATTCTTAGTATTTCTTGAATTAGAAATATAGAAGCCTTTGTAACTTATTTTGTACTGTATTATCAATATTTACTGCAGCAGCTGGAGTGTTTCCTCTAAAGATGACTCTTCTTAAAATACTTGGGGGGCGGGAGTAGAGGATTTTGGAAACGACACAGGGAAATGGTGAAGGAAAGTACACACAAAGCTGCAGATGGAATGCAACAATTTTTAGACTGAGAGCAGACCAGTTTATCTAGGCCCTCTTCTATTGATATGTCTTTGCTGTATCATGGTTCCATGACTAGATTAAGTAGCCTCTTGCGGTTTGTAGTTCGCAACAGGGCACCTGATTTTGTCAGGCACCATGCTGCATAAATGCAAAATTTAGCTGCAAACAGAATACCTATTCAATGTAAATATCATGGTTTTCTAATACAGGAGGGTGGGAAATGGAGTTTTTTCTTATTGAACATATGGAAATATTCCATAATATAGGAATTGCAACCTCTGCTGCAGTTACCGACAATAAGAAGTTGTCAGCTTCCATTGATGTTCTCCCCCTCTCTTTTTAAAGTTTACAAGCTATAGATAAATTTATAACAGGCTGGAGAATGAGATGAAAGACGGCTGATTTAATAGGGAAAGGAGTTGGTGCACATTTGCATAATACTGTAAGCCCTTTCCTAGAGAGGAGCTGAAAGAGAATTTAAATAAAACAAAATGCTCTGAAGTGATGAATGTTTATCTCATGCAGATGGTGAGCATAATAGTTTCCATATCTGTACTGGTAACCACATCTACTAATGTGTAAGATAGGGTAAGCCTTACCAACAAAGAGGTTTGTTGGTCTTGGAAGCATTTGCATTGAAATTGGAACTTTTGATGCTGTGATGTATGAGAGCCTTTATGTTTTAAGGGAAAATATATACTGGCCACGAAATAAATAAATAAAAATGTTAATTTATAATAAAGACCATCTGTAGCTCTACTTTTTTGTATGTTCATAATATGATCCCATCCATTCATTGCATTCTTTGATGTCTGTGCATACTTGTTAAAATTGTATGGATGCAGTTAATATTGTTTCAGGACATCCAATGGATATTTCAAATAAAGACAAGCAAATATTTGTTTTATAAGTGATCAGAACAGTAGTGGTGGTCTAGATAAAAGATTTTTCACATATATTTAACCTTTTGGCGCCTGGTATTCTAGAGATCTGAGCAATGTTTACGGTGTATGGTCAAATAATAATTCCTTCATGCTTAGTAAAACTTAAACACAGCTTAAGCTTGATCTCACTAGAGTCATTAAATTGATTTTTCAGTGTTAGAAGGCTGCTGGACACAAGCATCTTTGTCTTTTGTTTACATAAGACATCCTTAGCTTTGTGTGGCAGTTATAGTAGGGTTGTTTAGAAATTAGGAGATGGATAAAGGAAAGCTTAAAAGAACGGGGAATATTGAGCCTTAACATGAAGCACACTGTTTGTTGGGATCCCTAAAGGAGGGAGTCGATTTTTAACAAGTTAATTCAGGTGCAATAAATTTTCAGGAACTATAAATAAATAAAAATATTATATAAATATAAATAAATAGCAATAAAAATGTACGTGGAAGGTATTTTCTTTGGAGAAAATATTGTTTATGGATATTGATCATAAACTTGTATCCAACATGTTGTCCAACACAAAAAGTTCCACTTCTAGTTTGCACTTTTAATTTAATATTGTTTGTCCTTGAGTTGATGCTTGCATACTCATAAGCAGATGTCTCCTTTTTAGATGGGGTGTGTGTATTTGTGGCTCTTTATAACTGCAGTACTTTCTCAGACAAGGAAAGATACATTTACACACTGTCAGCCATAACTATCAAGCTTTTTAATATAGAAAATACACCCAGAAACCTGAAATTCACTGTGTTTTATATCCTGCAATACTGGAATGCTTACAGAGAAGTGTATGTGCGCTTCTAGATACATGAGGGGAATTCACTTTTTAAAAACTTACTGTGGAGCCATCAGAAAAGTTTTTAAAAATATATAATCAACAGGGCAATCTTGTGCATGCTTACCTGTAAGTCCCATTGAACACAGTGTGGCTTTGAATAAACATGCTTAGGATTTTGCTGTAAATTTGCTTTCACTTTCTTCCTTAGACTTTCACAAATCTTCTGATGTTGTGCTTCAGGCAGTTTTGTTCACATCTGGGCTAAACATTATTCACCAATTGGGAATCAACATATCTACAGGTGTGTAGAAGAAGTCTGAGTGTTGGACTAGGACCTGGAAGACCAGGGTTCAGATTATTGCTCAGCCATGAAGCTCACTGGGAGACCTTGGGCCAGTCATTGTCTCTCAGCCTGATGTACCTTACAGGGTTGTAGTGAGGATGAAATGGGCAGGGGAGAACCTTGAGCTCTTTGGGGGAAACACAAGAGAGGAAGGCAATACAAAATAATTCAATTAATATAGCTCTTTTATGTCAAAACTGAAGACTTTGAAAATTGTTCAGAGGAAAAACAAACAAGCGTTTCCACCCCTGATGCCTTGTTAAATTGATAGAAATTGATTTTAAGTATCAGTTAAAAAGAGCAAAGTGTTTAACTTTGGGTTTGGGATGATTTTTGTTGCTGTGTTGTCCCAATGACATCACTAGGAGGTACTGCTATTGCCCCTGAAACAGTATTGTGAATGGCTCCTAAAATTTTAATCTACAAAGTCTTTGATGACTATGCTATTTGTAAATGTTTAGGACTGTAGCTTGCATTCTGCACTATTTTACTTTGTTCATCTAAAGTGCCCAGTTAAGCATGCTAACGTCAGAACAGTTTCAGTGAGAGTAACGTGTGCCTAATTATGTTCTCAATTTCTTCCCAAGATCTAAATTTAGCAGTGTAAGGAAACATTGTTGCAACTTTCACTTTTAGACATAAACTTGACCCAGATTTGTTGCCAATCTCTGAGAACAGTGTTGTTAAGAAATTAGCAATAGTGAACAGCTTCTACTAACTAAAA